TGTCGAGACTTTCATTTCTTGCTTGCGTCCCTGCGCCTCTGCCACGATCTAACCCTCCTCTGTGGTTACTTCAGGCAGTAGCGCAGGTGACCTGAGGATTACGGTTTGCATTCGGGGGACGAGCATATCAGTACAAGGTCCCGCCTTCAGGCTGTCCCTGTCCCTCCGTGTCTTCACAAAAGTCACGGAGGGGGCCCTTGTTCCCATGAGAGAATAGGGTGTTCGCATGCTAAACTATCTCGACAACTGGCACATACTGGCAAACTCTCGAGATCAGTTATCCAAACACAGGGACCTGGTGCTCAGTCATCTCAGCCAGTTGGGTCTTCAGGTCAACTAGGAAAAGAGCAAACTCTTTCCCGTGCAGAGAATCTCTTTTCTCGGTATGGAGTTGGATTTGGTCGCACAGACAGCGCAGGAACGTGCTCAGTCTGTACTGAACTGCTTGAATACGTTCAAAAGGCAGGAAGTCAGTCCCACTGAATTTTTTCAGAGGCTCCTGGGGCATATGGCATCTCCTCCTCTGGAGTCAGAAGCATCCGAGATCGCTTCGGGCCATTCATGTCCCCAGCGTGCTCAACCGTGTGGCCAGCGAGCTATCGCAAGCTGTGCTCCCGGGAGAGTGGTGACTCCACCCTCAGGCGGTTAAGCTGATCTGGAGAGAGTTCGGGGAGAAGGTCCTTCTGGTGGCTCCCTATTGGCCCACCCAGACCTGGTTCCCAGAAGTCATGCTCCTTGTGACAGCCCCTCCCTGGCCCATTCCTCTGAGGAAGGACCTTCTTTCTCAGAGACAGGGCAGCCTATGGCACCAGGTTCTAGGTGATTTACCCCCAGAGGTACTTAACACCGTCGCTTCGGCTCGGGCATACACCTTGAAGTGGAACCTGTTTGTCGAGAGGACACCCGAAGATGTTCGATAGGGTCTGTGCTTTCCTTTTTGTAGCAAGGGTTGGAGCGAGGGCTCTTTCCCTCCACCCTCAAAGTACATGTTGCCGTTATTTCAGCATATCTCAACCACATAGATGGCAAATCAGTCGGGAAGCACGATCTGGTCGTCAGGTTCCTTAGGGGGGGCGAGACAATTAAATCCTCCTCGACCCTCCTCCATACCCTCTTGGGACCTTTCCCTGGTGCTGCGAGCACTTCAGGATGCTCCCTTTGAGCCTTTGCAGTCAGCAGACTTAAAGCTTCTGTCCATGCTGTTGGTTGCATTGGCCTCTATCAAGAGGGTAGGGGACCTGCAGGCATTTTCGGTCGAGAAATCGTGCCTAGTGTTTAGTGGACAGTGGACAGATCTCAATGCCTCAGGACCTCAGACCAGCTCTTTGTCTGTTACGGAGGCATGCAGAAGGGAAATGCTGTCTCCATGCAGAGGTTGGCCCACTGGATAGTGGATACAATCGCCTTGGCTTACCAACCACAAGGCGTGCCCTGCCCGCTCAGGTTGCATGCTCACTCCACGAGAGGCGTTGCATCCTCCTGGGTGCTGTCGTGTGGCGCCTCACTAACAGATATCTGTAGAGCTGCGGGCTGAGCGACACCTAACACGTTCGCTAGGTTTTATAGCCTACGTGTAGAGCCGTCCTCCTCCCGTGTTCTCACCCTAAACGGTTAGAAGCACTGAGAGGCCCAGCTCTGTCGGCTTGCTGCACCCTACTGTGCGCCTATATTGCTCCAGAGTAAAAAACCTGTTGAGTCCTCCACCACCCTCGGAGCCGGATGTGGTGGAGCGTCCGGCGCCAGGCCTTTATCTGTTGAATCCTTGAGAACCAGGTCTAGGCTGGCTGCCATATGTGGGACCCTGCGGGGATCCCATATGTGTATTCTTCCACGGCTGCTCCTCCGTGTTTTTCTTTTGGGCTAAGTCACCCAGTATATCATATGCAGTACAACCTTCGGGTTAGTCCATATGTATATCTCCACATAACTCCTTCGGGGAAGAATGTGGCTTATGCAGCGTTCTCCTTCCTAACGGAAAGGGCACGCTTTACCAGTGTTATGCAATAATCTTACTGTATGGGTTACCACGGAACAACAGTGACAGACACTCTCTGTGTAAGCCCTCTCCTATCGTCCTTCCAGGCAAGAAGGGGCAGGAGGCTTGCACAGGACACTGAAAGGGGGCAGCAGCTGTGACGCTTTGGTAGGGATTCCTATTAGTTGGTTCAGTCCGACGTGGCGTCGAACATGACCGACTGAAAGGGAACAGAGATGTCTTGTCCCGTCGCCACAGCTCCTGTACCCCGCTGTGTGGCCGGGCCAATTGCTCGGCTCCTCAGCGATAAACTGAAATGCAATCGCACCTTCTGCTCATTATATACCCGCGCTGTGTGGCAGAGCAGCTGCTGCAAATGATTGCACGCCAATGTGCATTGGCTCGTTTAGTTACACTCGAAGTAGATTGGCCTCTGTAGCGAGATTCCGATTAGTCGGTTCAGTCCGAAGTGGCGTCTCCATTCCCTCCTTCAGGAAACGAGGGTTACCATCGTAACTGAAACACTACTCAGTTTGAGGTACATTATGAGATGAGCAACTGTAACTCCTCACCATCAGCATTAACAAGTATATGTCCATCAACAAACCGATGTTTATATTTCTAATTTATTGCAGTGCACATGCAGGAACTGTATTAACTGTATCAATAATGGTGCATATGTTAGCCGAGCTCTAACGTGAATGACTGATGTAACATAAATGTTGGTAAAACACATCTTGCACCATCCTTTATCTTTACTCAAAGTAGTAAGCACGACAGACAATCTGTATAAATAGATGCAGTTTTAGATAATAGTGGCCCACAGCTGATTAGCAGAAGTATTTTGGTAAGACAGTAATAACGCGAGTTAGCCAGTAGCAGGAGACCTACACAATATAAAACACAAAACTAAGTATGTTGAACAGCCAGTAGAAAATATATACATCAATAAACATAAATTGGGTACTGACCCATCTTTCTGTCACCTTGTGACAGCCTGGAGAGACAGCTGACAGGAGGAAAGAGACCCCAATGGGGCTGGTAAGGGTAAGCTACCCTTGTCGGCAGTATCCAGCTCTGTTTACAGGATGCTGGAGACACCCGCCCAAGGCTTCTGAGAAATTAAAGAGAAAAATACCCCTAGAGTCTGCGAGAGCGGGGGCGGAAGATGACTCAATGTTGGACAACATGGTTAACGACTTAGAAATGGAAACGGATATGAGTATGGAGAGTAAGACTAGTTCAAGATCTGCAGTTAGTAAAGTCATTGAACTCCAAGCTTGTGTCTGTGGCTGGAGCAAGGCGACAACGGTCAGGGGTTTGAAGATTCGTCAAGGGAAAATGAAATGCTTGAGGGAGAAGGGACAAGGGCCTCGCATTGATCAGTACTTCTTACGAAGTCAGTCAAGTCAGTCGAATGAAATCCAGCGACAGGAAGCAAACCACAGCTCGCAGGATATCAGCACCCCTGTCATATAGGAGAGGAGGGTTTGCACAGTTAGTGATGAACATATTGATACTTGTGAACCTGGTCAGACTAACCAGCATAAGAGAGAAAAGAACCTAAACGGGCATATTTGGTATATTTTATACCAAATATATTTGGAGGATATTTGGAGGAAACGCATACAGATGCAAAAAGGCATGAGCCTATGTCAATTCCATCAGACATACCACCTATCAACCCACCAGAATACCAAATGGAGGTCTGTGCACCTAAGTGGAAAGAGGTAGAGCAGGCTGTGAGAAAGGCAAGGGCTTCATCATCTCCAGGGCCTAATGGAGTTCCGTACAGAGTGTACAAGAGTGCTTCAGGAGTTCGACGAATTCTCTGGAAATTGATAAAAGTGGCATGGGAAAAACAGGTTGTACCTAGAGCATGGCGCAGAGCAGGTGGAGTCTTTATACCTAAAGAAAAAGATGCTACAAGCTTCAGTCAGTTTCGTCCTATTTCACTATTAAACGTTGAAGGTAAGATTTTCTTCAGCATTATTGCTCAGAGATTGTCCACCTACCTATTAAAGAATGGCTTCATTGACACTTCAGTTCAAAAAGCGGCCATTCCAGGGTTCTCAGGATGCTTAGAACACATCAATGTTATCTGGCAACGAATTCAATCAGCTAAAAAGGAGAGGAAGGAGCTCCATGTGACATTCCTGGATTTTGGCTAATGCATATGGTTCAGTGCCACATGAGCTTCTTTGGGCAGCATTTTATTTTTTCAGAGTACCAATGTCAATAACAAATTTAGTAAAAGCCTATTTTGGAGATTTGCAATTTAGTTTCTCAACTCCAGAATTCAGCACTACATGGCAATGCTTAGAGGTTGGAATAATGGCAGGATGCACCATTTCTCCACTGGCTTTTACCATGGCAATGGAAGTAATCATTAGGGCATCAAGATGGGTAGTAGGAGGAGAGCGCTTGGCTTCTGGGATGCGACTACCACCAATCAGAGCATACATGGATGACATGACAACCATGACTACAACAGTAGCCTGCACTAATCGGTTATTGGGGAAGTTAACCGATAATATTGAATGGGCACAAATGCAATTTAAGCCCTCTAAATCAAGGAGCATCTCGATAGTTAAACGAAAGGTAGTAGATAAAACATTCTTCAGGCATTCAAACATTATATCCAAGTATGAGCCTCTTGATGTCCATAATTTATAAATATTCCGTCATTTTTGCCGCTAGCTCGATGCAAGCTGCCATTTTGGATATCACGTGATGTTTTCACGTGATGGTTGTTGACCAATTACAGGCTAATCCGTCGTAAACATTGGTGTGCGTCACGAACGCACGAACCAAGCTCTGATATTATTGTGGAGAGAGAGACCCACAAAGAGACGCGCTTTTCACAGAGAAACACAAAGAAAAATGGATGTAAATCAGCGCTGGCCTTTTTTGATGCCATGCAGGATGATGGATTTTCAGGAGAACAGAGCTTTTTGACCGATGAGGAACTAGATTAGTGATGTGGCCCTCTTTGTGATTGCTGATAGGAACTGTTTTGGCTTGGCACCAGTGAATTTCATGAGGCCCAAAACGCCTGGAATTCTTTTGGAAAAATTTAAATAGTTTTGGTTCTGTACAAGTTATAATGTTTATTCCTGTGCTCCAGGACTCCAAAGACATGAACAAACTGTTTTCCAGAGGAAATTTGCTTAGCTTTTATTTATTTGTGTGTGATTTCAAAAAATATTTGAGTGATTCAATTTCCGATTTATTTTTTCATTTGTCTTTGTGGTCCCATAACTTATTTTACATTCAGGTGACATCAATGCAACACAAATATGCTGAAAGTTCAATTTGTCCTGAAAAAAAAGAGGTGTGTCAATTGTCTGTGCACAAAAGGGTTGATGTTTTACAAGCTTTTTTAGTGAATAACACCAGACGGAAAATTTATTGTAAAAATACCCTTAGGTCTCTGAGGGTTAATGGTGAGGCAATACCAACAGTTTCTGAGAAGCCAGTGAAGAGTCTTGGGAGATGGTACGATGGGGATCTAAAGGACACAGTTCGAGTGGGAGAAGTTAGACGACAAGCAGTGGAAGGGTTGAAGAGCATAAACAGCTGTGCTCTACCAGACAAACTAAAACTCTGGTGCTTTCAGTTTGGTCTAATGCTGAGGTTGCTGTGGCCACTGACTGTGTATGAGGTTTCTTTGACAACAGTGGATAAGTTGGAAGCGTTAATAAGTTCATACATCAGGAAATGGTTGGGAGTTCCACGCTGCCTCAGCAGAGTGGGACTTTATAGTAAAGGAATATTGCAGCTGCCAGTCTCTGCTTTAACCGAGGAGTTTAAGTGCGCCAAGGTCAGACTGGAAATGACCTTAGTAGAGTCACACGACAAATGTGTAAGGGAGGCAGCACCTGTGTTAAAAACTGGTAGAAAGTGGTCAGCAAAGAAATCTGTGGTAGAGGCAAAGGCTGCCCTTCAAGTTGGTGATATTGTGGGACAGGTACAGCATGGAAGAGGGGCTTTTGGGCTCAGTTTAGCTCCTCCTAAATGGCACAAGGCAGGCCCAGCTCAAAGGAGGAAGCTGGTATTCAACGAGGTGTGAAAGCAGGAGGAGAGGATGAGGTGTATAAAGGCCATTTCCCAGGCCAAGCAGGGAGAGTGGATGAGATGGGAGAGTGTGGAACAACGCAAGATGGGCTGGCAAGACCTTTGGTCAATGGAAGAGAGTAGGATCAGTTTCCTTATCAGGTCAACATATGATGTTCTCCCATCACCACAGAACCTAAACCTCTGGGTAGGAGAGGATCCCTCTTGTCCTTTGTGTTCATCACCTGCCACATCAAGGCACATTTTGACAGGATGTAAGGTGGCTCTTAGCCAAGGTCGGTTTACTTGGCGCCATGACCAAGTACTGCAATGTTTGGCTTTAGCATTGGAAGGCAAGCGTAACATGACCAATAAGTTGCCACCTGTTCTAGCAAAACATTACACACAGAAGACAATATTCCTCCGCCCAGGCGAGCAACCATCAAGAAAAGGTGTTAAAACCATTTCTCGCCCAGGACAACTGGAAGCTGCTAGGGACTGGAAAATGCTGGCTGATCTTGATCAACGGCTTATTTTTCCACCTGAGATTGCCACCACTAACCTCCGACCAGATATTGTTTTGTGGTCTGGATCAGCACGCATTGTTCAACTGATAGAGTTAACAGTGCCATGGGAGGATGCTGTAGATGAGGCATATGAGAGGAAGAAACTGCGGTATGCTCACCTGGCCACTGAAGCAGAACAGCGAGGATGGAAAGTCCAGGTTTATCCAGTGGAAGTGGGTTGTCGAGGATTTGTGGCATATCTACAACCCGGTTCCTCAGAGACGTTGGATTCAATGGCCAAGAGTTGCGTCACACATTAAAGAACTTATCTGAAGCAGCAGAGAGGAGCAGCAACTGGCTGTGATTGAGACGGAAATATTCTGGCTGGCTGTGTACAGGCCGCCACGCTACGGTTTCATAGAATTCTTGAAAAACTCGAAGAGTCTGTTGGTTTATTTGTATAGTTTGCATAGTAATTACAGTTATTACATTCCTGTGTATATTGCGTGAATGAGGGTTGGTGTTTGGGCAGATATTGTGTTTTGCGGTAGGTATTATGCCATACGGAACCGTTGCCACTGAACCTAATTTAACGAAGACAGTGGGGCTCAACAGCCTTAGTCAAACGGGTTGGCGCGTATGGTTGGGTTGCGGAGAGATTGTGAGATTGTGGTTAGGTCACATGTGAACTACGAGGAAGGAGCAACCTCAGCAGCAGGAGGGATGTAAAGGTCAGTAAGCTGGGCTGGGCTGAGTTGAGTGGGGGACGGAGGGGACTCTGGGACGCCAGAGTCACTGTCGAGCCCTCTTGAGGTGTTGTGGGCTAGTCGACGAAACACTGAGGACGGAAGGTGCCCACTTGAAGACCCTAGAGATGTCCCCTACTCGGCTCAATCCAGACGGTTGTCGTGCTGGTCCACTGGGGAGACCACACTGTAGTTGCAGCCGTTGTGTGTGCTGACGCGCCAAGTACACTGCAGCCGTTAACGCCGGACAGAAGGAGATTCACATCACCATATGGAAAGAAGCGTAAATGGATGGAGAACCATAGGTTACTGTAAAGTTCCGTCTTAGTTTGTGCTTATCTTGGCGAAAACCAAGTAAAAATCAGCGTGAAGATTTAACATCTACTCTCGTGTAATGGAAATCATTCTAGAGCAAGCGTTTGGCTAATCCCGAGTTGAACTCTGAGATTTGAGAAGCAGTCGTCACTAAAGTGAAGGGAACACAGCAAACGTTTGGGATTATACTGCTGTAGTATCGTGGTAAAGATGAATTTTAACCACTGATTATTCACTGCCTCATCCTTTGGAAGTGAAAATAAACCGAATTTACTTTCACAGCAGAGAGCGTCTTGAGGACATGATATCCACACGAACGAGGTACAGCAAGATGTTCTGTCCACACAGAACGTAGGCGAGCATAATACAAATGTAATAAGTTGTTTGAGTGGTTCAGAGTCGACTCCTTTTGAGATAAACTAACTTTATGCACTTTCAGCTTTACAACTTTGCAGACTGTTTACATTCACATACAGCTACATTACACACTGCATAAAAGGTAATTTTCAAAAATCTATAATAGGGGCACTTCAAAAAAGCATGAAACATCATGTCTAACATTTGTACAACAATGTATTTTCTGGAGTTTTTTGTTGTTGTTTCCCCCTCAGTCATACACAAAGAAATAAATAGTACTGTACATTTAAAAATGTTTTAAAATAGAAAGAAATTAATAGTATATAAAATGCTTAATAAAAAAAATGCACATAAAGATCTTCCTAAATGTTTATCAATTAGTTGAAAACTACTAAATTACACCTGTGGTGTGATGTAAAGGGAGTACTTTCCAGTAATATATACAACACATACATTCTTTCTTGAATAGCCTGAAACTGTCCACATTATATTAGCCCTTGACATGTTTACAAGAGTAATTCACTAAAAAGTCTCCATTGTTTCTGCCCTGCCATAAACAAAGTAATGAATATAGCATGAAAAATAATAATATTAACAATTCTAATGTTTGGAAGGTTTTTGCTCCATTTACTGCCCAGCATTGCACACACTCACTTTCTCTGTGAGATTGTGGTTGGAGATTAATGAGCTCATTCTAAAAATGGAAACAATAGGATCTGTAACAATTAATATTGTTGTCGACTAGGTTATTTTTATAGAACGCTTCTTACCTTACAGACATACCGTTTTTCCAGTGTAAAGAGGAGACAATGGGAAAGACAGAGAGAGAAGGAGGAGGAGAGAAAGATAGGATAGTAACTCACAGTGTTGGGGAGTAACTAACTACAAGTAGCGACACTACTAACTTAAAGGGGTCATATAATGCCATTTTTGTACAAGCTAATGTGATTCTTTAGGGTCTAAATTAAAAGTTTGTAATATACTTTAATTAAAAATTCTCATTAGTATTGTAAGAAAACACTTATTTTACCTGGTCAAAAACAGCTCTGTTTTCAGCACGCCATTTCAGTGCATATGCCTTAATGAGCTTTGCTCACCCCGCCCCTCTATTCTGTGCGTACACCGTTTGTAACACAATAACACAATACGCTTTGTTCATTATAAACGTGGGATTATGAACTATATTGAGAACGTTGTACATAGAAAACATGCGGTAATGTACCCTGAGTGTAAACCTTAGACGCATTCATCGTGAAGCGTGCAAGCGATTTGCAAAGATTAATATAAATATTAATATAAAGGTTAATAAAACGTTACACTCACTTCAGTTCTTCTGGAGGTTCAGCAGGAACACGAATAGCTGGTACCGATCCTTTATTCAGGAGCAGCTTCTTAGCAAAACCAGTTCATACTGACCCTCCTTTATAAAGCAGTCTGGTGAGAAATGATTCGCGCAAACATGAAAGCATTGACGTTGCTCGTGGGGAATATTCCCTTCGAAAACAAACTCAGCCACTGCGTCTTCAGCGGTTCGGATTTAGGAACATTAAAATGACTGCTGTGTTCTTTATTACACCCAAGAACAGAACACCACAATCACTTAGACGCCATTCTGCTCATAGACAGTGCTCCAGCATATCAACAATGACCGCACCGGTCCGCGCGGACTATGATTGACAGCTCACTCACTCACGAGGGCGGGTCTGTGTTAAAACGCTGCTGTCAATCAACAATCGTGGGAGGGGCATCTGAACAGTGTTAAACAGTGTAGCTTTTAGAGTAGCTTACTACATTTTACAGCAAGTAGCGGTGTAGGACGACCAAAAACTACATTCTGTTCCCTTTCGAATGGGAACTCACACTGCGTACTCAAGTGCCGTGCGTTTGGGTGGAATGCCTTTGACTCGTGAAAGAGGCTGCATGTGCTGGGTAGGATGCATTTGCAAAACTATCTACAGTACGGTGGCCGAGACAGCTCAACGCGCTGCAACTGAAGCAAACACATGCAAATAGAAAAAAACGCGTGCAAATAGAAAAAAAACGCATGCAAATAGAAAAAAACACATGCAAATAGAAAAACACGCGTGCAAATAGAAAAAAACACCTGCAAATTAAAAAAAAACCTCTTCATCAGTTTCACAACACACGTGTGTGCTCCAAATACAGAAACGCGCTGCAAAAGTTCACAACACAACCAAATACAGAAAACGCGCTGCAAATAACACAGACCACAACGGAAATGTTTCCAGGGGAACCAAATAAGTGACGAACCCGGCTGGGACGTGCTTATTGCTCGTGAGCTTCCCTATGCCCTACTCCCTTCGAAGGGCAGATTGCAGAGCCCTTAAAGTGGGACTGTGGAGTGAGCAGGGCTCTAGTGTGCCATTATAGCCGTGTGGAATGCACTTGATGAAGGGAGCAACGAAAGACAACGTAATTTCCTCATTATTTTCACATGGGATGTTCCCATGACAACGCAGCACGGTGTCCATCAGCTGAAGAGCTTTAAATTAAAGGTTGAATCTAATATATATATATATATATATAAATATATGTATATACATATATATATATATAGAGAGAGAGAGAACTTTAGCTTTGTTGCTATTTGTCATGAGTAAGCAACTGAGCAGCGAACGCGAAACCCATCCAACATATCTGCACCAAGTGCATTTTTGACATAAAGCGCACCCAGGATACCCGGTTAAAAAATACCCGGTTAAAAAAGTCACCGCTCGCCACTGATTTATAAGTTTTATAAGAACATACAGAGCATTCATCTTCCATTTTTTCACAATTTTCAGCCAAACCAGAAAAAGCTCATATGGCGTGACTGTCCCAAGCACATTTCACAAATTTTGATTTTGAATCAAATCATTTTCTGTTTATTCAATCATATAATTGATAACCCATATGTCTACTTGTGAGTCTGCTTGACTAAAGGCTCAGGCATAATATTTTGAAGCCACCCTTAACTAAAACATTTTGTCCCAAAAATGGATATCATATGGTGTGATGCCATAGCCTGGGAAAACCCAGACAACTTCCGGCAAATTTAGATTTGCTCTGAAAGTTAGTCTGGCAAAGAGCTCATTCAAGCCCATTTCCAATCCATCGAAATCGCGGCACCAATCAGACACTTTGGGGCGGGCTTTACACGATGACGACAGCGCTGGGATTTTGAAGCAGATTTTGTAGCCTACATTACAAAGATGGATGCCGCCGTCGAACATCACTCGTTCGAATCAGCTATCGCGTCTGTTTTAAGCGATTTGAACGTTTCCTTTTAGTTAAAAACCGAGCAAAGAACAACACTCCGAGATGTTTTCCGCCGCTCTGCATACGTCATCTCCTTCATCGCTCTGATTGGGTTTAGGTCTATCCGCGACGTCCGTTGGTGACGCCCCTCTGGAAATGATTTGTCTATGACGCTTTGCCAGACCATAACTCAGTTACAACTGAGAATGGTCTGGTTTTAACCAGGCTAGTGACGCCATATTCCTTTTTTTAAACGGGCAATTGTTTGGAGACCTTTGGGGAGTGGGGGTCCTCCTTCTTTCAGGAGGAAGTACAACACCTCAGAAGGACACTGAAAGTTACAAGGAGAGTTTTCCTCTCTTCATGTTTTCAAAAAAATCAAGTATATCCTGCACTCCCGCTTCAGTTCCCTTTTGCGCTGTCTTTTGGTGTGACGCATTTTACACAAAAATGCCCAAATGAAATTACTTTTCAGTCAATATTACCTTTAAAACTATATTGTCATATTGTAGTTAGCATAAAAGCACATTGCTTAATGTCATGCTAAGTACATGAAACCTCATA